ATACAGGCCTGCCCTTCTTGGCCAAATGTGACGAGCGTTTTGTGTGTTGGTTAGTACAAAGTATTCCACGATATCTCGCCTGAGCTCAGCTACCTACACTCATCCCAATAGCAAGCTTGGTGGGATGAGATATTATCGCCCGTTGTGAACCGCATGTTGCGGTCCGCAACGATTATGTATATTTTCCGGCAGGAACTCCTTTGAGATGTCTCAACTGTGGAGTAGCTCAGGATCGGTGTCAAGAAGATAACATAAATTGATTTCATCACTTAGTTCACTTTTCCTTAATCACCATTTTTCCCTCCGTAGTTTGTTAAAGCTTCTTATACGTGAGATGTCAGTCAAGAGCTTCGTTGATAACGAGATTGCCTCCAACAAGGTCGTGCTTTTCGGCAAGTCGTATTGTCCCTATTGCACGAAGGCGAAAGGGGCTCTTGCTTCAATCAACGCCAATCCCAAAGTTATCGAACTCGATCAACGTGACGACTGCTCGGACATTCAAGACTACTTAGGCCAGCTCACTGGTGCTCGTAGTGTAGGGCCCACTGTTCTCAATCCGAGGGCTTGTGATTGATGCTTCTTTCGACAGGTCCCACGTGTATTCGTGAACCGCAAGTTCATTGGTGGAGGTGATGACACTGTAGCCAAGGTCAAGAGCGGGGAGTTGAAGAAATTAATCCAAGCTTGATTCATATCAAACTGTTAGTGGACCAGAGATACCCCTTCGTTTGCTAAAAATGCTCCCAGGGTATCTTTGAGAGGAGAGTTCTGTTATTTGAAGGGGACGATTGACTTGAGTTAGTTTGGTAGTACCGGCCGTATAGCTGCATTACCAATAGGCATGGGTAGCTGTCTATCATCTAATCCTCCAGTCGATATAGAGCAAGTAAAGAAGTTTGTTGATGGCGAAATTGCGGATAATAAGGTGATGGTCTTTAGCAAAAGCTATTGCCCACACTGCAAGAAGGCTAAGTCCGCCTTGAATAGCATCGGTAGTAACGGGACGTCTGCTAGTGAACGCCGACAACACTTGATGCAGGGGCTGAATACAAGGTGGTGGAGTTGGATGGTCGCTCGGACTGTGCTGCTATACAGGATTATCTCAATGAGATTACTGGTGCTAGAACGGTGGGTCTTCAGTTTCTAGTGGAAGTCACCAGTCCGTGTGGTCCCACAGGTACCAAGAGTTTTTATTGATGGGAAATGTATTGGTGGAGGCAGTGAGACGGTCGCTTTGAAGAATAGTGGCGAACTGCAGAAGGTAGGAATCAATGATTCTAATCGTGGTGAGATATATTTACAGATGCTCAATCTCCCCGACAAAGGGAATCAGCAATAAAGTCGCTAGTTTTTGCCCGTGACTGTCGTGGAGCTTCTTGTACTACTTCAGAGGTTCGCACTAGTTGTCGGCAGTTAACCGATTTTTTCTCGATACACTAAACTGGAGCAATCCAGTTGTAGTCTACTACTTTCCATTGACGAGCTTGGCTCCATTAATCCTGTGGCGTTGCAGTGGTGGTGGAATTGATGAAACACGAGGGTGATAAGAGGAATCTCAGACAGTTGGTGTTATCGGCATTCTCACGGCATGCCTCGAAAACATAAGTCTCATGGTTCACCAGCGACTCCCTCGTCAATTTCGTCATCGTCATCGTCCACCAATAGAGGGAGCCCCAATCGGAGTATTGCTGAGTGTCGAGAATAAAATCAGAAGTGAGATGGGATCATACGGAATACAATTGTC